TTCCTCTTCAAACTGTCATTCCCAGCATAGTAGATCATATGGTTGTCTGATTCAAAATGGCCAAAACCCGTCCATTTTAGCTTACTAATACCGAGGATATCAATCTTTATGCATTCCATTTCATTTTTGACAACTTCCAATTTTCCTAGATTTTCGTACATTCCATGTTCCGATGATTAATGGATGTCTGCAGCTGTTTCTCTTCAATTTGAGTGGTATCACATCAGCAAATGGAGGTCTCGAAAGCTTTACCTTACCCATAGGAGTAAGGCTCAGATGATGCAGCTCTTTCCCAGTCCTATTTTGAGAGCCTTCTAACGTAACCGGACTATACATAAAGTTGCACGGTAATGTATCAGACAGTGTTTCTTTGCTATTCATAAGGTTTTCCCTGGCCAATTCTTTGAGAAGTGTGGACGGCCTCTTCCTTCTTCCTAGTCTGTCTCAGTCTGTAAGCTGGGCTGATACCTGTGCACCATGTGCATCCTGCTGGGTTTGAAACACCAGTGGCTCAGCCTCAAAAATCACATCAACATGTCACCATGGTAGGACAAACGGACAGACAAGTTTGTCTCCCCTTTGGAAACCTCTCGTACCACCCTTACCTGGGTCCCTCAATAAATAGCTGATGAATAAATGAACAAATCTGTTGTCTGTTCTTAGGATAACTATTCATTTCTCTTTCTACCCCCAGATGTAGAGAGATGTCCAGGCTCTGAGTGTGAAGGCACTGTGTATGCCTTATAAATAAATTGGCCATATGGTTTATTGCTCAAACCGGGACACTTTTGATGGTGAAGGAATATAATTTTTATAAATATGCAAGGATACCAGCCACCAAATGAGAGTGTTCCAAACAAAGTATGGTATATGGTGAAACTCTTATAGGCATGTGCCCTGGAAAGAGGATGGACCAGGACATCTTGGAGACAGAAAGAAGCAAAGAAACCCAGCTGTTTCCTTTATAGTTCCTGTGGCCATGGGCAACCCAGTAGCTCAGCAATGGAGACCAGAGGAGTAAAGAGTACTTGGATACCCATTGCCATGGAGTCAATGTCAACTCATAGCAACTTTATAGGACAGAGTAGAACTGTCCCATAGGATTTCCAAAGCTGTAATTCTTTACAGAAGCAAACTGACATATCTTTTTCTGTGGAGTGGCTGGTGGGTTCGAACTATCAATCTTTTGGTGAACAGCCAAGTGTTTAACTGCTGGGCCACTGCTGTGAGCTGGAACACTTCCACTCTCTGTAGTTTTCTTAAGAGGCTAGCAAAAGAGCCTGTGGCACCCAGGACTCATGCCAGATGGCATCATGATAGAGCCTAGGAAGAAAATCCCAAGGCAGTGCACTCTGGCCTTCTTCCTGTTCCACCCCGGGGAGCTAGGCCAAAGTCATAGCTGGGATTTGGCCTTCTGGGTAACCATGTCAGACCATAGAGAGACTCACTGGGGAAAATGCTTAATGCTCTAAGGAGGCAGTACTCCTTAGGACCTCACACTGGAGATGAGGTCCACATACAGTGAAATCTGTGTAGTCCATTAAGTCCCCATAATAATTCATGAATGAAAAGGGCAGTAAGATCTAATCGAGGTTAGTATCTATTCATTGCATAGGCTAATCAAGATGGTATAGGTATCATTGATTTTGGTTTAAAATTACCAGTAGTAACATTCATTATAGCACAATTGCCAGGTACCAACACTGTTAGGGGGTGAATTTGAATATTACTTCCTGTGCCTTTGGGTTTAGAGTTCATGAAATGCTCTTGCAAAATCCCATTCAACTCTTTAAAGTCATCCAAATCCAATCAGATCTTGTCCAGACTGGCAAAACTGTTACCAAAATAAATTCTCCTTTTTTATTTACTGACAACTTCATGTTGTTAAACAATTACATACTTTTAAAATGTATGTTGTTGTTATTGGGTGCTTTCAAATCCGTTCTGACTCCTAACGACCCCATGTGACACAGTAGAACTGCCCCATAGGGTTTCCTGGGCTGTAATCTATAGGAGCAGATGTCTTTCCCCTGAGGAGCCCTGGGTAGGTTCGAACCACCAACTTTTTGGTTAGCAGCTGAGTTCTTAACTGCTGTGCCACCAGGGCTCCTTCTAAAATATATATAAGCCCATCATTTCCGTCGGATTACAACTCTGAGAAGAAGCTGATTGCATTTAGAGTAAACCCTTCTCTATGTTCTCCTGGTATCATTAAGAAGTCAACAAACATGGACAACACAGTAAATCACTCTAAATAGGTCTTTTACAAAGCAGCCATCCCTCATCTTGGTATATCTGGTGATTAAGAGTGTAACTTAAAATTCACCCTTTGATTTCATTTAAGAACACTGTTTTTTTAATTTTATTATTTTTAAGAAAAGTGATTGGTCTTCTTATCATGTGAGAAACCTAGCTGTTTGATATGTTCACCATACCCTGCTTATGTGGAGTTTATCTGAAACCACAGAGAATTATGAGAGGACAGAGTTCCTAGCTTGATTCATGACTCTATATTTTAAAATATCTCTCATGAAATGCAAGAATGGCAGATGTTAATATTGCTCTTGTTTCTAATGAACATGACTCAATTTACCCTAGAATTAGACCTCATTTGCCAGATAGTATCTGGGAGGCTGGATTTTCATGGTGGCAACCAATGTGGAAGCTTCTTGTTTTCCTGAACTAGCGAGCTGTTCTGGTGTTTGGCCCACTGGAGCACCATCCACCCCGGGCCCAGCCCAACAGAGGGGTCACATTACATGCTTCCCAGAGGGTGCATCCGGGGGCTGCTTTGCAGCTCTGCTGGCAGCACAGGAACTTCCCGTCCACGAAGAACCCGCTGTGGTACTTGATCAGCAGATGAGGGTTGCCCCTTATCTCTGGGGAGCAGGCAGAAAGAAAACAAGATGTGAGCAAACGTTGGCCCAAGAGAAGAAACACATTTAGTAAGCACTGTTATCACAGAACAATGGAAACCCCATTTTGCCAGCAACCACAGTAAGACCAAATGGTTCCCAAAGGATGTAAGTCTTTCACTCAGATATTAATAAGCCAAAAGGAAAACGAAAAGTCTAATCATGTGTGCAGTGAGAACAACACAGTAACATATATTAGTCTTTTAAAAAGTAATTTTAAAATATGCATATACAGCTTAACTTAGAAATACATTCCTAATGGAAGTGAGTGAGTTAGGGCACATGGTGTTTGATTGCAGCAGAAGGAGGTGAGAGGGTGGGGCTAGATCTTAACCAAAAGAAAAGAAGCTTCTAATAAACTGATACTTACCTCCTACTTTTTATTTTGAAAAATTCAAATGCACAGAAAAGTTACCAGAATAGTACAATGAACATCCATATACACTTTACCTGCTGTTGTATTGATTTCACAACACAGTGACCCTACAGGGTGGAGTAGAACTGCCCCAGAGGGTTTCCAAGGCTGTAAATCTTCATGGAAGCAGACTGCTACATCTTTCTCTCCACAGAGCGGCTGGTGGATTTGAACCACATACCTTTCAATTAACAGTAGAGTGCTTACAATTATGCAACTAGGACTCCTACCCTTTATCCAGATTCATCAATTGTTAACTGTTTGCCACATTTGCTTTCTCCCTCTCTCTCTCTTTCTGTCCATACATATTTCTTCTTATTATTCTTATCATTATCATGTTATGCTTAACCACTTGAGACTAAGTTGCAGACATTATGATCTAAATTGTCACCCCTGTAGCAGGTAACTTCTATGAACAAGGACATTCACTTATTCACACCTGCATTTAGTTATCTTGTCTCTTTAGTTTCCCTTGGATCTTGAACATTTTCTCATTCCTTATCTAGTGGCATAGTGCCTAGGCATTTGACTGCTAACCAGAAGGCTGGCAGTTTAAACCCACCAGCCACTCCTCAGAAGGAAGGTTGGGCAATCTCCTTCCATAGTGATACCACCTCAGAAACCCAAGGAGGGGTCGCTATGAGTCAGATCTGACTTGACGGCAGTGAATTTTGAGTAGGAACGATTTATGGAATGTCTTAGTTTCCTAAGGCTGCTGTAACAAAATTCCACAAAGTGGGTAGCTTTAAACAATAGAAATTGTATTGTCTGGAGGCTGAGAGTCCAAGATTAGGGTGTTGGCCATGGTGATTCCTCCTGAGTCTCAGAGACAGAATCTCTTCCATGCCTCTCCCCTTTGCTTCTGGTAGCTCCAGGCGTTCCTTGCCTTCCAGCTGCAGGGTCACATGGTTTTCTCCCTGTCTCTACATATTTTCTCTTTTATAAAGACACCAGGATTAGGACCCACCTGGGTCCAGTATGCCTTCATGTTAACCTAACTGATAACATCTTCACAGATTCTTTTTCCAAGCAGAATCACATTCATAGGTACAGGGGTTAGAACTTCAACATATTTTGGGGGGACACACTCTAATCCATAACAAGGAGCTACTTTTCTAGGAGTATGTGCATTTAAAAAACTAACCATGATCATACAAATACTGTATGATTCCACTTATACGAAATATTAGACTAGACAAGTGCAGAGACAGAAGCTTATCAGTGGTTACCAAGGGTGTGAGGGAGGAGTGAATGGGAGCTATCATTGAAGGTGTATTGAGTTTCTGTTTGGACTGATGTCAAACTTTTGGAAATGGATAATGATGATGGTAGTACAACATGGTGAATGTAATTTACAGGCATACCTCAGAGATACTGTGGGTTCTGTTCCAGACCACCACAAATCAAGTGAGTCACACAAATTTGTTTGGTTTCCCAGTGCATATGAAAGTTATGTTTACACTATAGTGTACTCTATTAAGTGTACAATAAATAGCATTGTGAAAAAGTTTGAAATACTGTAAGAATGACCAAAATATGACACAGAGACACAAAGTGAGCACATGCTGTTGGGAAAGTGGCACCAATAGACTTGCTTGATGCAAGGTTGCCACAAACCTTCAATTTGTGAAAAATGCAGTATCTGTTATCTGTGATGCATAATGAAACAAGGTATGCCTGTAATGTCACTGATTACACACTAAGAAATGATTGTGATAGCACACTTTTGGTTATGTATTTCACCACCATCAGATCAAATAAAAACAATTAACCATGGGGATAAAGGAGCTTTGGTGGTACAGTGGTTAAGGCATTTGGCTGCTAACCAAAAGGTCAGTGGTTCGAAACCACCAGCTGCTCCGTGGAAGAAAGATTGGGCAGTCTGCTTCTGTAAAGATTTACAGCCTTGGAAATCCTATGGCGGTTGCTACGAGTCAGAACTGACTCAATGGCAGTGAGTTTGAACCATGGGTATAGGATAATGTTTAATTCAAAGGAACGGAACTCTAGTGTTGTTGGAGTGTACTCTTGTATCTCTTGGAATACAACAGAGAAACTCACAAAGCCGTAGTAGAGAATACTTCAAGAAGAGTATAGATGGAGACTCTAGGCTGACTCTACTTGTGGCTTCAACTCTTCATCTCTTGATTTTCTGTTCATTTGAGGATTTCTTATTTTAATCCCAAGGGTAATTCTGATCCTCCTTTATAACCCTGCCTCAAGCAAGTATATGGTGATAATAATAACTGTTTTGCAGAGTCATTGGGAGGATTTGGGATAATATATGTAAAGTACTAAGCACAATGTTTAGGATCTTTGGTGGCATAGTGCCTAAGACATTTGACTGCTAACCAGAAGGCTGGAGGTTCAAACCCACCAGCCTCTCTTCAGAAGAAAAATGGAGCAATCTACTTCCATAGTGATACTGCCTCAGAAACCCAAGGAGGGGTCGCTATGAGTCAGGTCTGACTCGACAGCACATAAGAACAACAACAACAACACAAGCACAATGTTTGGCTCACAGTAAGTGTTCAATAAATGTCACTAAAGTGGGCCTTAGTGACTCTGTTCCCTTAGTTTAGCTCAGTTCAGCTTAGCCGAGGATGTTGACATTCAAAACAAAAACAAAACTTTACTAAATATTAATGAGAATTAAAGGGAAGTTATTAAAGAAATCACAAAAAGCAAAAGCAATTAAGATTTCAAAATGCACATTTCTGGTATTGGTCCCAAATGGTCATTGCAATTCGTCGGGCACATTACCTGCCTTCTTGCCCTCTAAGTTCCTGATCGCCACATGTCAGAAACCCTATTAATTCCTATTATATGGATTTTGTTTCCTGGACTATTAATTCTTTCCCCGACTAAGTCCCAAAGTCCACTTTGCAGCATTCCAATGCCTAATAATGACACTAAGAGGAGCTCGTATATTAACATATGTATAGCACTTTACCGGAGCTCTGGTGGCATAGTGCCTAAGGCACTTGACTGCTAACCAGAAGGCTGGCAGTTCGAACCTACCAGTCACTCCTCGGAAAGAAGATGGGGCAATCTACTTCCGTAGTGATGCTGCCTTGGAAATCCAAGGAGGGGTCGCTATGAGTCCGGTCCGACTCGACGGCGCATAACAACAACAACAATAAACAAGGGTTAAATATTATACTCACTCTATTATCCTACCTTAAAGAAAAAATATTGTAATGAGGGGTATCCTAGCGCCAAATTATTGACCACAATTCTCTTTATTCTACCAAAAGTTAGTACCAGTACCAAATAAAAGCATCATTAATCATTAATCCATGCTTTTGCCTTTTACACTGGTTAAAAAGCTGAATTTGGGTAATTGAGTTCTGAGGCCTCTATGATTAAGTATGTGGCATTGGTCATGTCTATTTAACTTTAAAAACCAAAAACCAAACCAAACTCACTGCCGTTGAGTAGATTCCGACTCATAGCGACCCCTCCTTGGGTTTTTAAGGCGGTATCTCTACAGAAATAGATTGCCCAATCTTCCTTCTGAAGAGTGGCTGGTGGGTTTGAACCGCCAGCCTTCTGGTTAGCAGTCAAATGCCTTAGGCACTATGCTCCCAGAGCCCCCTATTTACCTTTACTCATCTGAAAAACAAACAAACGAACAACAACAAACCAGGTCCCTGGGTCTTACAAATGGTTTGCTCCCGGCTACTAACTGAAAGGTTTGCAGTTTGAACCCACCCAGTGGTGCCGTGGAAGAAAGGCCTGGCAATCTGCTTCCATAAAGATTACAGCCACAAAAACCCTACAGAGTTCAGTTTTACTGTGTAACACATGGGATCGCCATGAGTTGGAATTAACTTGATGGCAATGGGTTTATGTGAAAAACGGAGAATAATATTACCCCTTCCCATAGAGTTGTTGAGAAGATTACCTAAAAAAAATGTTTTACAAGTGCTTGACACAGTGCCTGGCAAATGGTAAGTGGTTAGGAAGTCTTAGGAGCTCTGGTGGCGCAGTGCCTAAGGCTCTTGACTGCTAACCAGAGGGCTGGCAGTTCAAACCCATCAGCCACTCCTCAGAAGGAAGATGGGGCAATCTACTTCTGTAGTGATACCACCTCGGAAACGCAAGGAGGGGTCGACGGCAGTGGGTTTGGTTTTGTTTTTGGTAGGAAGTCTTAGACATAACAACTGCAAAGACTGAAAGAACAGTAGTCACTGGACCTGACACAGCCCCATGGCAACTTAGTAAAGACAAGCACAGTGGGTGAAGGGCAGATGGGCTGGTGTCCCCCAACCTGCTGGGAAGGCACAATAGTCAGCTCTGTGCTGAGCAGGAAAGGGAATCTGATCCACTGGTTTCCTCTTTGTAACAATGAAAATGCAAAATGAGAAGGAGCACGGCCCATTGCCCCAGGCTGGTAGGAAAATCAATAGATGCTCTCTTGGCATCTGGTCCTTTGACTGACATATTGTTCTCCCAAGTCTCCAAAGAACTCAAGCAATGGTTTCTTTTTACAACTTTTTTTTCATTACCTTTTTGTAATGCTTTCAACCACTGACTTCGGCTCTCTTCATTCGATGCATAGATGTATAGAAGCCCTTCTTTATAGACGATCTGGAAAGGAAAAGATGTGGTGTGTTTGGATGATAGACCCCCTTCGTGCAACTACAGACTTTCTATCATCCAAAAGAAACCTTGAGTTTTCTTCCATGATCTATATTAGCTCTGGAATTAGACGAAAAAAAATAAAAGTTCTACAAAGATGATTTTGCCTCTGTCCCTCAATTTTCTTTTTATGCAGGACACTCCCACAAGTTGGAAAATCATAGCAATGATGAAATTGATAGCAGTGAACATGGAGTTCTTAGCAGGGATGCCTTGGACCATGGAGAAAGAAAATTCTGGATATTAGAAGTATCTCAGAAAGTTCCAGTCCACCTTTCTGCCCAATGCATGACTCCCTTTATACCCCTTGGAAAATGTTTATCTGCTCTGTTTATGCACACACCTCCAGGGACAGAATGCTCTCCACTTTGCTAAGGTTGCAATCCTTGCCAATTTCCATATAGTCTAAGCATTGTCCAGCTCATGCTAATATTGAGCAAAAATACATCTCCCTAGTACTTTAGTCAGGAGCTCTGGTAGCATAGTGCCTAGGGCACTTGACTGCTAACCAGAAGGCTGGCAGTTCAAACCCCCCAGCCACTTCTCGGAAGGAAGGTTAGGCAATCTACTTCCGCAGTGATACTGCCTCAGAAACCCAAGGAGAGGTCACTATGAGTCGGGTCCAACTTGTCGGCACATAACAACAACAACAGTACTTTAGTCCACTGGGTCAAATTCTATTCCAGGAATCCCTCAGAACAAGTCACTTGCTATTACTTAGGACACTTATTTAAACATTTGAAGATACATGCCTCCCTCCCATCCATCTCTAACTGACTCAACTCTTCTTGGTAAATAATATACACCGTGTTTAGAACGCTGGGCTTAGAATGCTGGGCTCTTCACTAGCTACTTTAATATTTTAACCATTTTTCAACTTAATGAAAAAATATGATTATGCTCATTTTGCAACCAAGGAAACAAACTCAGGGTGAGGCTAAGGATGTTCTCTATGGTTACATAAATATAAATGGGGAGACTGGGAGCTCTGTGGGGCTCCAAAACCTATGTTCTTTTGTGTTCTGGTGTCGTAGTGCCTAAAGGCATTTCACTGCTAACCAGAAGGCTGGCAGTTCAAACCCACCAGCCACTCCTTGGAAGGAAGGTTGGCCAATCTACTTTCGTAGTGATACTGCCTTGGAAACCCAAGGAGGGGTCGCTATTAGTCAGGTCCGACTCAATGGCAGTGCGTTGCGTTGTTGTTTAT